GTCTTTTGTTGCTTGATTAACATCAATGACTCGGACAATAGCAACTAAATTAGGCTGCTGTCCCTTTAAAACCGAATGCACAGCTGCAATGGATGCAATGTACTGATACACGTTCTCTCTGCTGTTTACATTCACTTAATACGTAATCAACTGTGTTTACCTGAATATTCCTCAAAACGGACATTTCAACATCATTTTGTGTGTAATTCTCCGTTCATGCGACGCGAAAGAGTACTCGCGCACTGTGAGAGGCGCTTTGTGTGTATAGTGTCTGCGCTCAGAAAACCGGACCGAATTGAGTTCTCTCTTGCGTCGTCAGATTTTTCTGTGCGTGTGTGCTTCAGTGTCTGTGCTCAGAAAACCAGACTGAATTGAGTTCTCTCTTGCGTCGTCAGATTTATCCACATGTCTGCTCTTCTCTTACTCCCACATATTGACATTTTTGAACGTTTTATGCGACGTGCAGCTCTCGTTTTTATTCGTTGACGAAAATGTCAATAGATTTACGTCATAGTTTTTGTCATTCAAAAAGAGTTTTTGTTCGTTATCGTATCGTTGTCGTCGGTGAAAAAAATATCGTTGACGACAATTATGACGAAAATTATTCGTCAACAAAATTAACACTGCTCCAAACCTGTAGGTTTCTTTCTTCTGTTGAACACAAAAGAAGATATTTAGAAGAATGTTGGAAACCAAACAGCTTCTGGTCCCCATTGACTTTCATAGTAATTTTTTTCCATACTATGGAGGTCAATGGGGACCAGCAACTATTTTGTTACCGACATACTTTAAAACATCATCTTTGTTTAACAGAAGAAAGAAACTCATTCAGGTTTGGAACAACATGAGGGTGACTAAATGACAGAATTAACATTTTTTAGGTGAACTATTCCTTTAAGACAAAATGTAAGAAGAATCTGTATATCTGTAAAGAATCTTCTTAAACTCATCATAATTAAATAGAATAACCTCCAATTTGTCTTATATCTACAAATTGTCTTAAATTTTATAATTACGTAACTTTAAGGTGTTTTTCATGGAGTTGATCAGCAAATCATACAATCAGATAAACTAAAAATGTTTTTACAAAAAATTGTAAAGAAATGCACAAAAGAATATGCGTATGAACTTCTTAGAATTCATCGTAAGAAACTTACGAATATCCAAAGAGTGTCTGGTCCCAGAATTTTCGAAAATTAAAACTGAAATAATATAAATTAAAGCTAAATAGAAACATAAAATAAACAAAGACTAATAAAAGTGACAAGCATTTATAATTGGACGGATAATTATTATATATTGGATGGATTGATTGATTTATTTTTTTTTGTGAAAAATATTCCAATAGGCTTACAGGATCAAGAAATTGCCATCTAAATAAATCTGAGAATTTTACAGATTCATTTTTTTTCAAGTCATTCTAATTCAGAAATATTTTTTTCAAAATTATTTCTAATTTAGAAAATATTATGTAAAACAAATATACATTTAATTTCAGCAATTGTTATGCATGTGTTTTACTATCTTTAAAGGTCCCCTGAAATGCTTAGAAACACGCAGCGTTACTCTATGTGTTGACGTCATTTTAACCGTGCTATCGTGTCTCTGGACCGGAGTGTGTGTGCGGTGCGGTGGTTAGCGTGACACAGCGCCAAACCATACTTCTTTTTTTCCTCAATGGAAAGCATATTTACACTGTTTGAATCGTTCCCTGTCCCCTATATAGTGCACTACATGCCATTCACTGCACAGAAAATACTAATTCTGTGGATAAGTGACCGATTTCAGCCGCGGCTTCAGCGTCTATTTTATAGTGCAGGGGGCGGGCGCTTCGGATTCTAGACAGCATTTGATTGGACAGAAAGTTTGATGAGAAGCTGAAGTACGATGTGACGTCAAAAAAATCGTTGAGCCGTTTTGGCGGAAGTGACGAACTGCAAGCTTTGAATGCTTAGATCTTCTAAATGCGAATTTTGTCACTGTTTCGGCGCACACTGCCTTATAGACAACCTTAAGACTAACATATTGATACTAACACCCAAAAAACTTTAATTTTGATTTCATGGGGACTTTAAATTAAATAGTGTAATGCATTAACAAATATTAACTAATATGACCATATTGTAAAGTGTTACCAAAATTTTTTTGGTAACAAACGTGTTTTTTGTTCATACAATAAAAAAATCTAAGTTTTTGATCAGTTTTTTTTCTTACACAGAAGAAAGAAAGTCACACTGGTTTATTGCTTTAAGTTAGCAGTTTTTACATTTAACTAGTAGCCTGTCAGTGAACAGCAGCTTTGTGTCTGTCATATATCTCGAGGTCCGTTCTAAAGAGGGCAGGTCTGAGTGTACAGGGGACATAAATCGTCCTGGCAGGAGGGAGTGATTTCCCATCATCCTTCAAAGCGGCCATCCATCGCTAAAGAGCCTAATGAAAGGGCCACTGACTGAAGCTGCCAGTGAAAACATTTGGCCTATGAAGCATTCTGCGGTCGCTCACACACACACACACACTGATGTGTTTAAGCGGTAGGAGGGCTGCTCTGAGGTGACAGACAGGTTACGGAGATATTCAGCGTGAACACAAAGAAGCTGCCAGAGAATCAGCATCTACAGCCTGCAGTTACACGCGGCTCGCTCCTGACGCGCCTTACACTAGTGAGCATCATGCACATGCATTAACATAAATACAAGCATGAGGTTTTGAGGAGAATTCTCATTGTAGCTATACTATTTAGTGTTGTTTTAGTATCATTAAATACTTTGAACGTTTTTTATGAATATTTTGAATTGTTTTTTTATTTTTATATTTTTCATTTTAGTTTAATTTAGTTTGAATTGGCTTTTATTTTATGTTTTCATTTTAGTTTAACATAATATTTTTTAAATATGTCTTTATAGTTTTTATTTCATACTTAGTTTTAGTTTTTATTTTAGTACTTCAACTTAAAGGTGACATATCATGAAAATCTGACTTTTCCAGGTTTTAAGTGCTATAATCAGGTCCCCGGTGCATCTACCAACCAAGCAAACGTGAAAAAGATGAACCCAGTCACTTTTTTTGGTAAGCCTTTTTCTGCAAGCGTCTGAGAAAACGAGCGCGTCTGATTTAGCTCCCTTGGTGACGTGGCAAAGGGATCTCATTATAATATTACCGCCCCTTAATCTGTAAACTTCCACTCAAGGCGCCGTCATTTTGATTTCGCAAGCGACAACGGTGTACTAGTTCTAATGCCATGGAGAAAGTTTGAGCAAAACATGCTAACTGTTCTGTGTTTGACTGCACATACGAGCACAAAACCCTGTTTAGACTCCCAGCCTCAGAGGAGACGAGAGAGCAGTGCATTTATTGATTTATTTACTGTATATTGCTGCTGCCACACAGATCTAAAATAAACATGAGATTTATTTCCCAGCTGTTTACCTTCACAGACATAACCCACTGTTTTTGTAACTCGTGTGTTTTTAACATAAACTTGTGTGTGAATGAGAACTTAGTTTAGTACTCACATGCTGTGTGACAGCTGCTTTCTGTGCGTGTGCTTCAGATGTGTGCGCTCAGAAAACCCTATGTCTGAAGTTTAAACTCATATGGTTTAAACGCATGATTTCAGCGCTATAAACATGATAATCAGAACCAAAACAGATGTTTTTAGCAGATACGAGCTGTAAAGGCGCAGCTCTATTCTGGAAAAGGGGGCGGGGAGCAGCAGCTCATTTGCATTTAAAGAGACAGGCCCGAAAAACAGCATGTTTCTGCTTCCACTCAAAATAGGCATTTTCAAAATGATATAATAAATGATCTGTGGAGTATTTTGAGCTGAAACTTCACAGACACATTCTGGGGACACCTGAGACTTATATTACATATTGTAAAAAGAGGCATAATATGTCTCCTTTAAACTAAACAGAAATAAGAAATGCTGCTTTGCTAACTGAAATAAAATAAGTTCATTTCTTAAAAAAAAAAAAAATTCAGTTAACATTTATTTTATTTCAAGTAACAATGGTTTTAGTTTTAGTTAACGGTCATGATGAAAAATGCTTGTCAATCACCTTTTTTCCATGACTAAGACAAGACGATGACGAGATAACACAATAACAATATTGTGTTAATAACAATTAACAATAACTGTGGCTATATCAATATGCAATATTCTTTACAAAAGACAAGACCGAAATGTTTAATATATAAATATAAAAACTATACCTTATCACTTTATTTTAGCCTACAACAAAAAAGAGGAGACAAAATATATTTTTTAATTTTATTTTTCTAAATTACAATTGCCGTTTTAACAGACAAAAGTGTTAATTTACAATAAAAAAAGAAAAATATAATACAGGAAACCAGATGAGGTCAAATATAAAACGCATTCTTTTGATTTGTGCTTACCTCAAAGTGCAATAATTTTGTTGAAAAGTAAAAAGAAATTCTCAAATGACTAATAATTGCAATTATAATTTTGAGCAAAACAACTGTGATTATGAGTTTAACAATTATCATGAAGCTCAACTAAATATAACTAAAATATGACTAAATGTCAACAGTTTTCATTAAATGTCCAGACATTGTCAACTAAAATATTAATCTCAGGTATAAATAGCATCTTGATTTCTTACATTTTGTCTGTCGTCATCATCATCATCATCAGCAGCAAGAAAAACTTTTTCTTTTGTGTTCAAACAGATTAAATAAGGAACAGGTTTGGAACTTTACAAGCAGAAATACCAGAAAAATTGAATAGCCTATTTAGCCTTGAATATGGTGTTGGACAACAGGAGGGCCTTCGAGTCAAACAGTTTGAGTACCACTGATATTGTAGTTATTAGCTTCACAACATGCTAACATCAGATGTGTTTTTAAGACACCATGTTATGTTGCTCTTTCCAGCTGTTACTGAATGCAGGAACATGACCTGTGTGAATCGCCCCGTACGCATCGGTCCCGTTTTGCTTCAAATGCTTTTAATAGAGAAAGAGTGAACCAGAACTCACCACATTCTGCTGAGAACACAAGCAGAACAGCAAGAACCTGCAGCCCAGCAGCACCGACACACACCATCCTGTGTAGAGAGCACAGAAGACACAAAGAGAAGGGGAAAACGATGAGATTCATAACGGAAAGTTTACATTTCCATAGCTATACTATGTACTTCACTGACATCGGGAAATTAAACACTTTTGAGTGTGTACTAAGACAGTAGTACAGTATTGGGACGTACTGCCATGCCATGCATACTATAGTAGTTCACCTGTTCATATAATAATATAATGAAGGTAAACAGAGGACTATACAGATTATAACTTGGGTTTAAGACCAAGAACATGTATTAACAAAGTCAATTCTGGCTTTAAAGTTGATCTGGTTAACATGAAGCAATATTTAAAATGTACTAAATGTAGGACTCTATTATTTCCACAATCTGGACAGAATTGCAGAATCCATTAATAAAAACAGATCTTACTGTATAACGTGGAATGTCATGGAATTTGTCATATTTTGGGTCAATAAATCAAAAGAAGGTCAGGGCACTTAAATCAAGTGACGATATGGACACTAGTTAATATTAATATATAATAATATTACTAAATTAATGTTTTATGTCTTCTTTTTATTACCAGAAAAATGGAAAAAGCAAACAAATAAATAAATAAATAAAAATATCATAGGGCCCTATTATAGCAAACAAAATAAATAAATTCATTTGTTTATATGAATTTAAGTAATTAGACATGCTTTTGATTATTAAAATTTAATTAAACCATTAAAATGGAATCCAGAAAAATTAAAACAGAATTTGGTAAAAAATAAAATGTATTTCATAGGCCCTAAAAATTTATTTACACTTGTAATAAATTGCTTTTAAATGGTATATTTCATGATTTCAATAAATTATATGCTTTTTGATTCATAAAATTTTATTTAACCATTAAAAGTCACCCCCCCCCCCCCCAA